CCTCCCTCCCTCCCTCCCTTCCTCCCTTCCTCCCTTCCTTCCTTCCTTCCTTCCTTCCTTCCTTCCTTCCTTCCTTCCTTCCTTCCTTCCTGTCTCTGTCTGAATCTCCCTCTCTTTCTCTCTCTTTTTGTCACTCTCTCTTTCCTTTGCTTATTTCTAAGTTCTATGCAATCAAATAGAGCAACAAACAAAGTGTGCATAGGAGAAAATAAATAAGTATGCCTCTCTGAGGATGGTGGGGAGTCGCCTCACAGAGGGGTGACTTTGAGGTTGACCCTTCCTTCCAGAGTGGCACCAAGGGCAGAAGGGGGTGATGGGAGGTTGGGCTGAAGTCTAGATGTCGTGGTAGGAACTGAGCAATGTTCTTCCATCATTGCTGCCCCTTCTTGTGGGTTTGAGGAAGCCCATAGTTTCCAGGAAGGAAAAGGCAGAAGAGATGCCAGCAGGACAGGCAGGGTGCAGAGGAGAAGAGCAGAGAGGATGGACCCAGGATGCACCCTGGGATGCTAAGAGTCAAGGTCTGGAGGAAGAATGAAGCCTAGAGAAAAGAAAAGTCAACACGATGAGAGGTGCTGGGTGCTGGTGACTCACACCTGTAATCCCAGCTACTTGGGAGGCTAAGATCTGAGGTTCGAGGTTCAAAGCCAGCCAAAGCAGGAAAGCCCATGAGACTCACAGCTCCAATTAACCAGCAAAAGCCACAAGTGGGCCTGTGGCTCAAATGGTAGAACATCTCCTTGAATGAAAACACACAACACACACAATCACACAATCATGAGAGATGCTGGAGACCTGGCCTGTTGGGGACAAGCTTGGGTTTGGGCTCAGTTCTGGAATCCTTTCCTCCCAGGATGGTCTGGTTCTGGGAGCTGTGGGGAGCTTTGGCTGGTCTGGGGGCGCCTTCCTGTACCCCTCCACCAGGGCTCCCACCTTCATCAGCAAGCCTCAGAAAAGTGTGGACATGAGAGACTCCTACCTAGGTGAGGAAGGCCCTGGGGGGCTGCTGGGAAGTGGGGGAGACGCCTTGGAGCTGAGGCCTGGTTTCCTCAGGTTACTCCATGGAGCTGGCCCTGTGGAAGGGGACATGGAGTCTGGTCATGGGGGCCCCTCGGCACCAGCACACGGGGAAGGTTGTCATGTTCACCCAGGAAGTGGGGCAATGGCGGCCAAATGCTGAGGTCCCCGGGACCCAGGTGGGTGTGGGTGGGATGGGGGGGTGGACCTCAAGGGGGCCATGTGGCTGGGTAGAGAAGGAGATGGGGTTTGGGGCTCATGAGGAAGAGGCGGGGGGGGGGTCAGGCAGGTGAGCTCAGACTCTGCCCTCCAGATTGGCTCCTACTTTGGGGCCTCCCTGTGCTCCGTGGACGTCAGCAGAGATGGCAACACTGACCTGATCCTCATTGGGGCCCCGCATTACTATGAGCAGACGCGAGGGGGCCAGGTGTCCGTGTGTCCCATGCCCAGAGGGGTGAGTGGCACATGGGGCCTGGGCAGGGTGGGGGCTGGAGGGGGGGAGGGCCTGGGTTGTGCTGACACTGGTTTCATTGTGCAGAGGGCTCGGTGGCGGTGTGGGTCTGTTCTCCATGGGGAGCAGGGCCATCCCTGGGGCCGCTTTGGGGCAGCCCTGACAGTGCTGGGGGACGTGAACGGGGACAAGCTGACAGACGTGGCCATTGGAGCTCCAGGAGAGCAGGAGAACCTGGGTGCTGTCTACATATTTCATGGGACCTCAAGCCTGGTTGTGGGCCCTGTACACAGCCAGGTAAGGCGCTGTCTGCAGCTCTTACCCTGTCACTGAATGCAGCCTCCTGTACTTTATTTCCTGAAATTTCCCCAGACTCCAATAGGCACAAAGCTTCTCCTTTCTCCTTTGGTTCCAAAGGTCCTTGAATGTTTTGTGCACATTAAAGAAGTGGGTAAAGAGTTGATGTAGAGAGGTCAGACCCCACATTTCATCCCTGGCTGTGGCAGCCATGATTAGACATGTGGCCAGAGACTGACTTTGCCTCTTTCAGCTCATTCCTTATTATGAGACATAGAAATGATCAAACTAAATGCATAGGCTGTGAGTGAAAACCACCATAGCAAGTGCTCTGATCCTAAAATACTTATGAGCAAGCAAGCCCAGCAAATGAACAAGTGACTCTATTATATTCCTATCATTGTTCCTTCCCTTGCTCCAATCCCTCCCTCTCTTCCTCCTTCCCTCCCTCTTCCTCCTTCCCTCCTTCCTTCCCTCCCTTTCTCCATCTCTTTCTCCTTTCCCCTCCCTCCCTCCCTCCCTCCCTGTCTGCCTGCCTGCCTTCCTGCCTGCCTTCCTTCCTGCCTGCCTTCCTTCCTGCTTTCCTCCCTTCTGATGGCGATGGGTCTTGAATCAGGACTTCCTGCTCTCACTTGGCTTTTTTGTTCAAGGCTCTACCATATGAGACACAGTTCCACTTCCAATTCTTTGCTGGATGATTGAAGATAAGAGTCCTCCTGACTTTTCTATTCAGCTGTCTTTGAGCTGAGATCCTCAGATCTCAACCTCCTGAGTAGCTAGGATTGCTGAATGAACCACTAGTATCTGGCTTTTCTTTATTAATCTACTCTGTCATGGGGAGTGGGACCATGAGGTGGATGGGAGAGTCCCCCCGAAGTTCCCCTGCTGTTTCTCTTTCTTGTACCCCATGGCTCTTTCCCAATGTCTCTATCCATACCTGCACTCCCTGCAACCTCTTTTCAAACCTTTCTTCTCAATGCATTATGGTCCTGACTTCCACATTTCTTACCCTCTCTGGCCAGAGGATCCCTGGCTCCCAGTTCTCCTCCAAGCTCCAGTATTTTGGGCAGTCACTAAGTGGAGGTCAGGACCTCAACCAAGATGGACTGGTGGACCTGGCCGTTGGGGCCCAAGGACACGCGGTGCTGCTCAGGTGACGTTTCCCCACACTCCACCCTTGCCGGCCTCCTGTCTGCCTCACCAGCGCCATGTCCACCCTGTACTCCCAGTGGCCTTCCACAGCCTCTGTCTATATCCTTCAGGAGTCTACCCGTGCTGAAAGTCGGGGTATCCATGCAGTTTGTCCCTGTGGAGGTGGCGAAGGCTGTGTATCAGTGCTGGGAAGAGGTGTTCCCCTCTCTGGAAGCTGGGGAGGTTACGATTTGTCTCACTATCCACAAGGGCTCATTTGACCACTTAGGTGAGTTCCTTCCCTGAGGCTGGACCTCACCTCTTGAGAGAACCCCTCCAAGTCCAACCTCAAGAAAGAGTGGACCCCATTTCTCCTGCCCCAGCCACAGTCTTCCTCCAACACAGCATCTGCCCTCCAACCTCCACGAAAGAAAAGAGATTCAGCCTGGTCCTAGTGGCTCCTGCCTGTCATCCTAGCTACTCAGGAGGCTGAGATCTGAGGATCGCGGTTCAAAGCCAGCCCGGGCAGGAGAGACCGTGAGACTCCTATCTCCAATAAACCACCAGAAAACCGGAAGTGGCGCTGTAGCTCAAGTGGTAGAGCGCTCGCCTTGAGCTGAAGAGCTGAGGGACAGCGCCCAGGCCCAGAGTTCAAGCCCCACGACCGACAAAAAAAAAAAAAAAGAGTCTCATAGACTTTCCTGCCTGGGCTGGCTTTGAGCCTAGATCCTCAGATTTCAGCCTAGGATTACAGGCATGAGCCACTGGTGCCCGGCTCCCCTGTCTCTTCTTATACCTCCCACCCCTGTGTCCATGGAGGAAATGTGGTTCTACAATGCAAATCTAGACTCCTTGCCTGCTCCTTTACTAAATGGCTCCCCTTGCATTTGGAAAGACCCAAACCCTTTCCCACAGTGCATCTGCACTTTGACCTCTGGTTATCTTCTTTCTCCCTCCCTTGATATATTTCTGCATGTATGCTAGTCTCCCTTTTCTTGATCTCTCCAGTCTGAAATGTTCTCCTCTTCCTATTCTTTCTCCTCATCCTATTTGGCCAAGACTGCATTAGCATTCCTAGAAGACCCTACCCTGTAACTGGGGCTTGAACTAAGGGTCTAAGTGCTTTCCCTGGACTGTTTTGTTCAAGGCTAATGTTCTACCACTTGAGTCACTGTTTCACTTCCAGATTTCTTGACATTTAATTGGAGATAAGGCTTTCCTGCCCAGACTGGCTTTGAACCTCTATCCTCAGATCTCAGCCTCTTGAGTAGCTAGGATTACAGGGGTGAGCCATTGACACCTGCTTACCCTGCAAGTTCCTGAGGGCAGGGAACAAGGGACACATTTTTCTATCTTCTCCACGTGTATTCCCAACAGCATAGATCCTATCTCTTTGGATGTGCATAGCAAATCTTTATTGCATGATCAAGTGAGACTTAACAACTTTTTTTTTTGTCATGAGGTTTGAACTCAGGACCTGGGCACTGTCCTTGAGCTCTTTTGCTCAAGGCTAGTGCACTACCATTTTGAGCCACAGCTCTACTTCCTGTTTTTCTGGTGGTTAATTGGAGAGAAAGGTCTTACAGAGCTGGGTGCTGGTGGCTCATGCCTGAAATCCTAGATACTCAGGAGGTTGAGATATGAGGATCCCGGTTCAAAGCCAGCCCAGGCAGGAAAGTCCATGAGACTCGTATCTCCAATTAACCACCAGAAAACTGGAAGTAGCTCTCTGGCTTAAGTGGTAGAGTGCTTGCTTTGAGCTAAAGAGCTGAGTGACAGTACCCTGGCCCAGAATTCAAGCCCCATGACTGACCAAAAAAAAAAGAGAGAGAGAGAGAGAGAGAGAATTTCCTCTCCAGACTTTGAGATCCTTCTCAGCCTTCTGAGTAGATGAGATTACAGGTGTGAACCATCAGCTTTACATGATCAAATTAAAGCAAACAGCATTCTAGATTCACTCTACCTTCCTACTTTGCATTCCTCCTTCTACCATAGATGCTATCCAGAGCTCTATCAGGTATGATCTGGCATTGGACCCAGGCCGTCTGATACCTCGTGCTATTTTTCATGAGACCAAGAACTGGACTTTGAGTCGGAGGAAGATCCTGGGGCTTGGGAATCACTGTGAAAGTGTGAAGCTGCTTCTGCTAGTGAGGATTTTGGGTTTTGGGAAAGGGGAGAGAGTGGAGGAAACGGAGGCTAGCTTGCAGAATCCCTGCTCCCTGTTCTCTGCCAGGTGAAGTGGGCAGAGTGAAAATCCGGGGCGGGGGCTGGAGAGAGGAAGGCTGGGGGGGGATCAGGTGGGGGCAGAAAGGAGAAAACCCTGGCCACATAGTTTGGGTGTGTGGTAGAGGAGATGGCCTGGAAATGGAGAATAAGGTTAATGTGTTCAGGGAAACCTACTGTCCCCCCAGGACTGTGTGGAGGATGCAGGGAGCCCCATCATCTTGCGCCTTAACTTCTCCCTCCTGGAAGAACCTAGCTCATTCTGGAATCTTCGCCCTGTGCTGGCTATGGACTCACAAGACCTCTTCACTGCTTCTGTAAGTCTTTCAATGATGTCCCACGGATGTGAACCCTTCTATTGGGTCCCCAGGGGCTTAAGAGCCCATCATCAATCCCGGTTGCCTGGCAACCAAGACCCAGCCTAGCTTGGAACCTTGCCCACCTCCATCTCTGCTCACTTTCCCCAACATAAAGCCTCTACCTCACGTTCTAGATCCTTCCATACTTTCCTCAGGCCTACCTCTGAGCTTCTACAGGAAGGGGGTATGTTGGCTTGTCTTCATCTATATTTGTGGTACAACAGTCACATCTAATTCACCTGTAGTGGTCATATTTCTCTAAATTGCCACTCAGGCCAAAACTCTGACCAATCCTGGAGTTTCATTGCAACTGCTACCTGTTGTTCCACTAGGAACTAGATTTGGCATGACTCAACTTTATTCTATTTGAAGCTAAGGATCTTACCTACTGGAGTGAGAATTCAGAGCCTCATCCTTGCTAGCCAAGTGCTCTATCCACTTGAGTCACACCACCAGCCCTTTTTGCTTCATTGTTCCAATAGGGTTTTGCTTTTGCCCCACATCCAGTCTCAGGCTGTTTCTTACCTATATCTCCTCACCCCTAGAGCTGAGATGATAGGTAACCACCACCACATCTGGCTGGCTTGCTTGTTGAGAAGGGAGTCTCACTAACGTTTTTGCTTGGGCTAGCCTTGAACTTCCATCCTTCCAGTCGCTGCCTCCGGTGTCTTATCTTTCTTTTCTCTTCCAACCTGCAACCCTCACCTCATGCATGGCCAGTTTCTAGCTGAGTGCTGGGTGCAGAGTCTCAGGGATCAGCCATGGGTATACATGCTCTTAAGGAGGGGAGGGGAGAAAGATGGAGAGCTGGGATGAGAAGATCGCATCTGTTTTGCTGCAGCTACCTTTTGAGAAGACCTGTGGCCAAGACCACCTCTGTGAAGGCGACCTGAGGGTCAACTTCAGCTTCTCAGGGTAATAACTCTCTCTTTTTTCATATCCAGATGTGGGGTCCCTCATTCACAAAGGATGAGACTGCGTGTGACTCTGCTTGGCCTTCTAGCATGATTGTGTGTGTGTGTGTGTGTGCTGGCTTGAACTCAGGGCCTGGGCACTGTCTCTGAGCTTCTTTTCTGCTCAAAGCTAGTGCTCTACCACTTGAGCTGGAACTCTACATCAGTTTTTTTTTTTGGTGAGTCTCACAGCTGCGGGAGGCGGGGGGTATGGTTCCTTTCCAAGCTGACTTCAAACTGTGATCCTCAGATCTCAGCCTCCTGAGTAGCTAGGATTACAGGCGTGAGCTAGCTGGCTCAATGGTTTTGACCATTGTCAAATGTCAGCACAGGGTTCAGAGCTCCTGTCATCCTGCTCTTGATCCAGTGGCAGCATGACATCACACAGTGTCCAGTGACATCACACCGCCTGTCCTGTGCTTCCCCTCAGCCTGCAGACTCTGATAGTGGGGAGCTTCCCCGAGCTCAGCCTCACGGTGACCGTGTGGAATGAAGGAGAGGATTCTTATGAAACAGTGATCACTTTCTACTACCCAGCAGGGCTGGCCTACCGACGGGCATCAGGAATACAGGTAAACACTTTGGGCTTTAATTGGCTCCAGGCCTTGCATTGGTCCATTTACTGTTGCCAAAATACCACCGACTGAGAGAGATGGGAAGAAAGAAGGTTATTTTGGCTCATTATTTTGGAGGTACAAGGTCAAAGGTCTGCATCTGGTCCTCACCTTCTTGCTGGCAGAGTTTCAAAGCTGACCAGAGACGAAAAGTACACATGTTAATTTAGTCTCTCTTCTTCCTATAAATCCACCAGGCAATACTTCATACTGTACAGAGTGAGGTAGGGATCCAATCTCTTTCTCTCTCTTTTTCTCTCTTTCTCTTTTTTTCTTTGTGATAGAGTCCAGTTTTCCCAGAACCATTTAATGAAAATCGTCCTCTCTCCTACTGCTCTGCTTTCAACTCTTATTTTTATTTTATTCATTTCTATTTCATTATTTTTAAAAATGGAGGGTGGGGTCAGTTGTGGGTCTTGAACTCAGGGCCTGTGTGCTGTCCTTGAGCTTTTTCGTTTGAGGCTAGTGCTCTACCACTTTGAGACACAGTGCTGCTTCCAGTTTTCTGGTGGATAATTTGAGATAAGAAGCTCGTGGACTTTCCTGTCTTGGCTGGCTTTGAACTGTGATCCTCAGATTTCAGCCTCCTGAATAGCTAGGATTACAGGCATGAGCTATGAGCTACCTACCAGTGCCCAGCTTTTGAGTCGTGGTGGTGGTGGTGGTGGTGGTGGTAGTGTGTGTGTGTGTGTGTGTGTGTGTGTGTGTGTGTGTGTGTGTGTGAATACTGGAGCTTGAATTCAGGGCCTGGGGCTCCCCTTGACTTTTTTACTCATGGGTGGATCTCCACCACTGGAACCATTCTTCTAGTTCTGGCTGTTTGGCTGGTTAAGAGTCTTGCAGATGTATCTACCTGGACTGGTTTTGAACCTTGATCCTCAGATCTCAGCCTCCTGATCAGCTTCAATTAAAGGATTGCCACAGCTCTTAGATAAACACGCAGATAACCTTTTTATAATCTCCTTTATCAGGAGGAACCTCATCATCGCCCACTGCGCCTGGCATGTGAGGAAAAGCCCACCCAGAATGAGAGCCTGAGGAGCAGCAGCTGTAACATCAACCACCCCATCTTTCGAGAAGGTGCTAAGGTCAGTGCTGCCCAAGTCCTCACTCTTCTCCCTTGTCCCAACCCATCCCTTCTCTCACTCCTTCAAGACCTTCCCTATCCCCACTCTTTCTCTTTCTTCTCTCAGGGAACCTTCATAATCACATTTGACGTCTCTTATGAGGCCACTCTGGGAGACAGATTGCTTGTGAGGGCCAATGCAAGCAGGTGAGCACGGGCCAGCTGTGATGTGTTGCACACTCTCCCATCTAATGCCCCCAGCATGGGTCTCCTGAACATTCCCTTTTCTCTTCTTTTCCAGCAAGAACAATAAGCCTGCAACCAATAATACCTCCTTCCAGCTGGAGCTCCCGGTGAAATACACGGTGTACACAGTGATCAGCAGGTGCTTCATCCTAGCCCACCCCTTGGGGTCTCTGATCTTCCTCCAGGCCCACCTTGCTCTTCTGATGCTAGACAGTGGACTCAAGTTTGTTTTACTGTAATGAAGTATCCGAGGCAGGATGCTTATGAAGAAATGAGGCTCATGTAGTTCACGGTTTTGGAGACAGGAGTCATAGTGCAGAATCTTTCCAGAGCCCCCCTTGGTGACATTATCTTATGATAGAGGACAACATAGTGGTGGGAATAGGTGCCATCAGAGCGTGAGATCACACAGGGAGACAGGAAGCTGGAGGAGCAAGGGGCGGGGCTGGCCTTTCAGTTTCTCACTAGGCTCCACCTCTTAAAGGTCCCACCACCTCCCAGCATCACCACACCAAACAGCCAAGCTCCCATCACACCACTCCTTGGAGAACAAACTCAAACCATGTCCACGTCCCTGTTTCCTCCCATGGAATTGCTTACAGGCACAACTAGCTGGACATTTTACACCATGCTCTGATGGAACTATATAATTCTTGCTGCTTCTCTGGTCTGCTGGTGGGACACACACACACACACATGCATGTGCACACATGCACGCATGTGTGAACGCATGTGCGCATGCACACGCATGCCTGTCACAGTATACATGTCCTTCCTCCTCTTCCTTAAAACTTTAGGCTTCTTTTAACATGTGTCCAACCTTTTCCCCTGGACTCAGCAGGAACATATGAATGCAAAGCTACTAGATTGAGATGGAGGCTCTTCTCTGCACTCAGACCTGTGGAGCTTGTGCCTGACAGACTATTATGGTCTGTTATGGAACAGAAGGGGAAGAAAGCATGGAGGAAGGAAGAAGTGTGAGAAACTGCTGCAGAAGGTTCCTAAGAGCCCTGGGCCAAGGCAGGCGACTGGAGAGTCAGGCCCTATAGGAAAATATCTAAACATGATTAGAAGTAAGGTTTAAGCTGGGCCTTTGAGTGAAAATTCCTGGAAGTGGAGTAGGGACAGTTCAGGCAGACAAAAGAGATCAAGCAAAGACCAGGGGTAGAGAAGAGTGAGGAGCAGGTATGTCTTGAAGAGATGATCATTCCAGGTGACTGGAGCAAAGGACACTAGGAGTGGGAGGGGGGAAGGTGCTGAAGTATTGGGGGACCACTGCTATTTCCTTGGGACATAGGTGAAGCCCTCACTGGGGATGGTCTCAGGACTATTTTTTACCAACTCGCCTTCTCTCTAGGCAGGAAGACTCCACTAAGTATTTCAACTTTTCATCTCTGGATAAGAAGAGCAGGAAAGAGGCCAAACATGGATATCGTGTAAGAGGCTAGGGATTATTCATGTCTGCCTCAAGTCAAGCTGGAGACAAAAGCCCGTGGGTAGGAAAGAAGACAGGCTTGGGATTGGGCTGGGGATGGCAGTCATGGTTGGTCTTGATGGTCTGCAGGTGAATAACTTGAGCCAGCGAGATCTGGCCATCAGCGTCACCTTCCGGGTTCCCGTCCTGCTGAACAGTGTGGCTGTCTGGGAAGTGGCTGTGAAGGCCCCTGCACAGGTGTCCGCTCCTTCCCCCGATCAGCATCTCATCCTGTGGTGCTGCCCTGACTCCTATCAGGGGCATGGGTATTCTTGTGTAGTTAAGGATTGTTCTCTGCCTGTCTATCTCCCCCCACACACACCTGCCCTCAAACTATCTATCTCCTCCCTCCCTCTCTCTCCCCAGAGTCTCCCCTGTGTGTCAGAGAGGGAACTTCCTCAACATCCTGACTTCTTGACTCAGATTGCAACAAATTCTGTACTGGTAAGAATGACCCCAAGGACCCAGGCCACATTAGGACATTCGGAGGGGTGGGGATGGGGGGCAGGGGAGGCCAGGCACTGGTGGCTCATGCTTGTAATCCTAGCTAGTCAGGAGGTTGAGATCTAAGGATCATGGTTGGAAGCCAGCTTGGACAGGAAAGCCTGTGAGACTCTTAATCTCCAATGAACCACCAGAAAACTGCAAGTGGCACTGTAGCTCAAAGTGGTAGAGTGCTAGCTTTGAGTGAAAAAGCTTCAGAGACAGCATCCAGGCCCTGGGTTCAAGCCTCACAACTGACAAAACAAAACAAAAAAAAAACCTTCTGGATTTTCAGCATTATGCAATCATCTTGTGATTGTTCACCAGTTTCCCTACTGGAATCAGCAGGCTTTCTGTTCTGTGCCAGATCCTCCCTCTGGTCCACCATGGCTTCTCTGTCCCCAGGACTGCTCCATTGCGGAGTGTGTGACGTTCCGTTGTGACATCCCTTCCTTCGGCATCCAGGAGGAGCTGGACTTTGTCCTGCAGGGCAACCTCAGCTTTGACTGGGTCAGCCAGGTATGTACACCTCGGCCCTGATCCATGCAGGGCCATCCTCAAGTTAGGACGGTCCTGGAGCTCCCTGCTTGGTCCCCCAACATCCAGTTCCCCAGCTCCTCTCTCCCCCTTGGCAGACATTGCAGAAGAAGGTGTTGGTCATGTCGGTGGCTGAGATCACGTTTGACACGTCTGTGTATTCCCAGCTCCCAGGACAGGAGGCGTTTTTGAAGGCCCAGGTAGTTAGTGCCTGTGTGGTGGGCAATGCCCAGGCTGGTGAGGGGCTCCAGATGTGTGGTGCTGATTGGGGGATTCTCAGACCCAGAGGTAGGAGGTGGGAGGCAGGCACCTGGCAGGACCTAAATGGATGAATGCTTTTGCATCTCAGCCCTGGAGCAGGGCCTGGGGGGAGAGGAAGGGAAGGGCCTAAAGGCTGGGCACTTGGGGAAGCTGAGCTGTCAAGAGGTCTGATGTTTTTGGCCTCCAACTCAGATGGAGACAGTGCTAGAAGAAGTTAAGGTCTATCATCCCATGTTCCTCATGGTGGGCAGCTCCGTAGGCGGGCTGCTGCTACTGGCCCTCATCACAGCTGCCCTGTACAAGGTGAGTGTTTTAGCCCACTTCCAACCCCACCCGCATCCAACCCCAGCCCTGCCACAAGCAGGAGAGGAGAGGCGGGGAACACCATCTATGATGTCAGGCAGGCTGAAGTACCCCCAGTTTTCATTTTCTGCCAGTGCTGGCACTTAAACTCGGAGCCTGGATACTTCCACTTGAGCCATTTCCGGCTTTGTGGTGGCTCACTGGAGATAAGAGTCTCACAGACTTTTCTGCCCACATTGGCTTCACACCCTGATCCTTAGTTCTCAGCTTCCTAAGTAGCTAAGATTATAGGCGTGAGCCACTGAAGCTGGCTAAAGCATGTATTTGCCTCTTTACTTCCAACTTAATGCTCAGCAAGTTACTTGATTTCTCTCTGAATCAATTTCTCTTTTTTGAATGGGGCAAATAAGAATTACTGTGTTGAGGATTTAGCTAAGTGGAAGAGCAGTTGCCTGGCAAATGCAAGGCCTTGAGTTTGGTCCTCAGCTGTGGCAAAACAAACTTCAAAGATTGGCTGAAACGTGACAGCAACTCAGTCAAGGAAACCTGCCTGTCTATGGAAGTTCTGCTTTTCTCTTTTTAGGGAGTGAGGGTATAACTATTGTACCATGCATGACACACAGTAGGTCTCAGAGTGTAGCAGTGAACATTCTGATGACACACTAAGCTAGTGCAGTTCCCTCCCCTTCCTCTCCTTTAGCATCTTCCTGCTCTCTTACCCTGCGTTTCTCCTTGACTTCCTTTCATAGTTTGGTTTCTTCAGACGTCATTACAAAGAAATGCTGGATGTCAAGACAGAAGACTCAGCCTCATGCACTGGAGATGATGTTAGTTGTGAGGAGGCCCCAAATCTGCCTTCTTCCTGATGGTCTGTTTTCCTGTTTATCTCTACCTCTGGGGCTGGTCTTTTTCTCTCCCTTTGAATCTACTTCTATTGAGAACAACTTTTTCATAGATCTGGACTGGTCTGAACAATCTCTCAGGGGCTAGGCCCCATGCTCAAGGAGTTAAACGATTGCTGTGTTTGTGTCTGTGAGTCAGACTTCCTCAGTGACGAGACCTGTATGTCAGTATAGGTGTTCATATGTGACAGAACTGTCGCACAATGCTTTACAACACATTTTCCTTGTCTGGAAAAGCTTGAACACGGGGATCCGAGCACTGCTCTAGGAAAGAGTTGGAGGAATCTACTTGTGGGTTGGAAGAAAGTAAGAAAAGTCCTCTCTACTTTCTCATACTCGGGGCTAGAGCACATCTTTTCTTGCTGATGCAGTAAGTAGGGGGGGTGAGAGAGAGAAAGATCAAAGAAGTGTATGTGTGTGTAGGGGGTGAATGTGAATGATGTGGCACATCAGTCCTAGGATGTGAACAGAATACCCAGAGCTCATTTGAACTAGTGCCCTCCCGCGACCCCTCATCTTTTTCTTATGCCAGTACTGGGGCTTGGGTGCTGTCCCTTAGCTTTTCCACGCAAAGCTAGTGCCTTGCCACTTGAGCCACAGCTGCACTTCTGGCTTTTTTGCTGGTTAAGTGCAAATAAGAGTTTCACAGACGTTTCTGTCTGGGCTGGCTTTGAAGCTAGATCCTCAGGTCTAGTCTCCTTCTTGAGTAGCTGGGTTTACAGGCATGAGCCACTGGCGCCTAGATTAAATGAGGCTCCCAGAAGCCAGGCAGGAGAACCAGGCTTTCAGAAAGGAGCTGGTGATTCCCAAACTAATAGAGTCCTAGGTATAGGCCTATGAAGTCTTGCTACTTCTCTGGAGGAGGAATCTGAGATTCTCAGGAACTGACAGGCTTAAGTCACTCAGCGTCGGTGAAAGCCCAGGGAGAGTCCATTGTTAACCGAGGGAGCCAGGCCCGCCCACCAGCCGGGGATCTGCCCCTCCACATCCCGGCCTGGAGAAGACGGGCTCGGTGCCCCCGCCCCGCGCGCATGCGCCGCGCCGCGCCGGGCCCCGCCCGACCCCTGGGAGGCGCCAGAGCACACGAAGCGTCCACCTCTTTATTGGGCTGGAGACTGGCGGCGGGATCTCAGGGATACTCGTAGCCGGTGGGCAAGGGGTTGACACGGGGGTTGTGGAAGAGCGTGTGGTTGCCGTCTCCCCAGGCGTAGCGCTGCGGAGAAGGGGGACGGACAGCGAGGGCGTCGGCGCCCATCTATCCCCAACCCGAGCTCCGCACCCACCTGCCCGCGCGTCCCCGCGCCCCGCCCCCGCGCGTCACCCCGCGCGTCCCCGCGCCCCGCCCCCGCGCGTCCCCGCGCGCGCGCGCGTACCTTGGTGCGGATGCGCAGGTGGTGGTAGGGGATGAACTCGGGGCGCCCGTGGTGGCCCCCGTGCAGCCAGCAGTTGAGGGAACACAGGGCCACACTGGGCAGTGCCAGCAGGAAGGTCAGGAAGCGCCAGGTATTGGCTGCGCGGGAGGAAAGGCAAGGAAGAAGTTGGCAGCCATCGGTCTGCCGGACTGGGGACGTTTGTGTGCGCGCATGCGCCAGTCCTGGGCCTGAACTCGGGGCCTGGGGCCGCTGTCCCTGAGCTTCTGTGCTCAAGACGGGCTGGCACTCTACCGCTGGAGCCACACAGTTCCGCTTCTGATGTTATTTATTTATTTATCTGTTTGGTGGCTAATTGGGAACAAGAGCCCCAGGGATTCTTCTACTCCGGCTGGCTCAGATCTCAGCCCACTAAGTAGGATCACACGAGTAGGATCACACGAGTGACTTGCCAGTGTGTGAGGGGCCACACTCATGGGAAGGCAAAAAGGGGTGAGGGAACAGATAGACAAAGCCAGTGAGTCACAGGATCGATCCCCAGCCCTCACTCACCTCCAGCCCCGCCATGGTCACCCTTGGCTGCGCTGGCCAGGCCTCGGCTCAAGGACCTCAGAGGCAGAGCCATTGCGGCCGGAGAAGCTACGATGGCTCTGCCCTTTCGCTCTCCTTCACCCAGACCTCGCCTCCCCCCCCCCGCCCCCCTCCTTCTTGAGCCAATCACCTGCTGAGTGTACAATGTGGATGGCTATTTTTAGGGGGAGGGGGATATGTTCTATATTTAAAATGGGGCCTGGCTAGCCGGAGGTCCTCTCCAGAAACACTGCACTGTGCCTTTTATTCGAGTAGGGGAATATTTAAAGTACACTTGGCAATTATTTTTTTTTTTTTTGGGTCCGGTCGTGGGGCCTGAACTCTGGGCCTGGGCACTGTCCCTCAGCTCTTCAGCTCAAGGCTAGCGCGCTACCACTTAAGCCACAGTGCCACTTCCGGCTTTTTTCTTTTTGCTTATGTGGTGCTGAGGAATCGAACCCAGGGCCTGGAGCATGCAAGGCAAGCGCTCTACCACTGAGCCACCTTCCCAGCCCGGCAATTATTTTTAATAGTTGTGGGTTAACTATCTTATTTAAGTCTCTATTCCCAGTGACTGGAGCACTTGCTTATGCACCCAGAACCTTTCGCTCAGGTCATCTGTACCTTTCTAAGCTGATTGTGGTGGTTTTTATTTTTCCTGCAATTAGGTTCAACCCATGCTAGGCAAGCACTAAGCTACCTCCCTTGTCAGGGTCTTGATACATAGCTCAAGCTGACCTTGAACTTGAAACCCTCCTGCCTCAGCCTCTGAAATGTGGAGCTTACTGGGGTATAGAACCATGCCTGGCTTGGTTTTGTCTTAATTCCCTCTGTGTAGAGACAGTGCAGTCTTTGTACCCAGCAATGTTTTTTAAAAAATATAATTCTATTGTTATTATTAAGGTGTTGTAGAGAGGGTTTACCATTTCCCATCACTGTTTTAATAAGCTCTTTCTCTCTTTCACAGTTAGCTAGTTGAATTGCTGGGAAAGCTTCGGGTTCCTAGCTCAGTGGGAAAACTGAAGAACAAACCCACTAGTGTGCAGTAAGCCAAGCTTTTCAGACATGGTGTAGACAGACCACTCCGTGTGTTTCTCTCTGCTTCTTCCTTGATATATTATATACTATGACCACATTTCCCAAAGCAAATGGCAATCACATCGAGTAGCCTATTAACTGTAAAGTTTGTTTATGAGTCCCACTAGGACAGAAAGAACATCTGAGATTGGAACTGTCCCAAGACAATTCCATGATGGTAAAGGCCGTGCAGACTGGAGATTCAGAGAGGATGGGTTGGAGCCAGCCATGATGACAGGCTTATCCCTCTGCTCTTGGAACAACTTAGGAACTTATGGCGGACAGCACATTAGTCTAGGTGTCATCTGTCCAACAGATCTGTAAGAGAAAAACTTTTAACTGTTTATTGGAGGCCAATCACGCAGGAGCTCGCCAGGCATCCATGCCAGCCTCAGTTATGAGGAGCGCCATTTCCGGCCCGCCCTGCTGATTTATTCATCCCCTTTCACCTCCTGCCCCCCTCCCCGCAGTCCCGTCCCCCGAGCCGCCCTCACCACTCCGATTCCCTCCCTGCAAGGGGCGAGGTGGTCAGAGCAGCGAGCGCCCCCAGGCCTGACACTAGGGAAAGGGTTAGCTCTGAGCGCGCCCCGTGACTGCTCCACGTCGGTGAAGGCTTGCCCCGCCGCCTGGATCCAGTTGCATCACCCGCAAGAGTGACAACTCTGCGGGGTGGGGCAGGGCGGGGCGGGCTGAAGGGTAGAGTCCGCGCATGCGCATGTCCCGCCTCCTTTCTCTACACTAGTGGATTCTTGCTGCGCTGGAAACCGGACTGAAACAAAGGGACCCGCTGAGAGCCGGACGACTCTGCCCCCTAACGGCCGGAGGCCGTGCGCGTTCCCAGGTGGAAAGCGTGGGAAAAGGAAGCTTAGGTGGAAAGACCCAAACTTCTGGCACAGAATTTAAGAACACACACACACACACACACACACACAGCATCACATTATCACGACTGCGGAGTATTCTGGTGTCCTCTGAAGTTTTGCACTAGAGATGAGTGCCTCACCCCGTCCCAGCTCTGCCAGCCACACTTTTGCCCTGGCACGGGAAGCAGACCACATCTGGAGAGAGCTGGGTTTTGCCACCAGCTCCAAGTAGCTTTGGGCCATTTACGTCCCTCTCTGAACTCAGCTGGCCTTGTAAAATTAGGAGTTCAACCATATGATATTAAAAAAAGCAATTTTCACAGGGTGGAACAAAATAACACAGAATATTGAAACAGTAGAATACCATATGACACTAAAAAACAAATTGCTCCAGCCACATGCAGGTGCTGGGGAAAACCTTGCAAATACTGTCATAGAAACAAGAACAGAATATGTTCAGTCAATTCCATTTCTATAAGATTCAAAAATCAAACATCCTTTAAAATTCTTCAAATGGTTAAACACAGTTACACATTCCAGTCTTTTCACTCCTATATACTCAAGAGAAATTAAAAAACAAAAAAACATACTCCAGGTTGGAAGGGTTGCAGGAACTCTCAGTGCCTATCCAGCTGTTCCCTACTGAAGATTATAGTGCCCAGCCTGCCACTGGACTGAAGTTCCCACTGTTTAGGCCACTGACTGGAAGGGAACCACCACCTTTTTTTTTTTTTTTGCCACTCCTGGGGCTTGAACTTAGGGCCTGAGCACTGTTCCTGAGCTTCTTTTGCTCAAAGCTAGTAGTGCTTTACACCTTGAGCCACAGCACCACTTCCAGCCTTTTTTGTTTATGTGGTACTGAGGAATTGAACCCAGAGCTTCATGCATGCAAGGCAAGAAATCTACCACTAAGCCCATTCCCAGCCCCAACCATCCATTCTTGAGCTGTTTGTCTGCAGACACTTCAGGAAAATGGAAAGTTGATGGAAAATACACATTCCACCAAAAAACTTGTACGTGAATATTCTTAGCACTATTCATAATAGCTCCAGAGTGGAAATAATCATGCTACGATTTGAATATAGAATGTTCATGAGAGTCTCCTGTATTGGAGGCTTGTTTGTAAAGTGGTAGACCACCTGTTTAGGGAACACAACACCCTGAAGTTCTTTTGGGAAGTGATTAGGTCCTGAGGGCTCTCACCCAATGAATGGATTAACCCCTGGATGGGTTTATGATATGATGGTGGGAGGTGATGAAAGGAAGGAGGTAGCCTGCTGGAATAGGTCACTTGGGGTGTGTCCTGGAATGATATATCTTGTCCTCAGCCCCTTCTCGTCCTCTGCTTCCTGGCTACCTGGATATGAGCTGTTACTGCACTGCTACACCTTCCCTGTGATGTTGGATGTAAGAAGAAGAAGAAAAAAAAAGGTCTTTCCTCCTTCAAGATTTTTTTTTTTGGTCGGTTGTGGGGCTTGAACTCTAGATTTGGGTGCTGACCCTGTGCTCTTCAGCTCAAGGCAAGTGCCTTCCCACTTGAGCCACAGTGCCACTTCCGGTTTTCCAGTGGTTTTCCTGCCCGGGCTGTGATCCTCGTATCTCAGCCTCCTGAGTAGCTAGGATTACAGGCGTGAGCCACTGGTGCCTGCCCTCCCTAAAGATTTTTTTGGGGGGGTCTGGTTGTGGGGCCTGAACTCTGGGCGCTGTCCCTCAGCTCTTCAGCTCAAGGCTAGCGCTCTACCACTTGAGCCACAGCACCACTTCCAGCTTTTTTCTTTTTGCTTATGTGGTGCTGAGGAATTGAACCTAGGGCCTCATGCATGCAAGGCAAGTGCTCTACCACTGAGCCACCTTCCCAGCCCCCTCCTTAAAGATTTTTAACTCAGGTATTTTGTCACAGGAAGGAAAAACCTAATACAACTCACTTTGGTGCTGTCTCAGGCCTAATGACTATTCACAGGCTTAGACAGTGAGGCTGCCTCTGCTCACATCTCAGGGCACAGGGAAGGCTGGGCAAACACCTGCTGGTCAAACCCCTCCCTTCTGCTTCCCTTCTGGTCAGGATCTATTTTCTGCAATTGGAGAGGAGATAGAGCTCAGACACTCCTGTTCTAATGGGAGAGGTTAGCATCCATCTCTTTAAAGTAACTGTGCAAACCTATGTGGCTCCCAAGTCCACCCGTACCACCTATGTAATACCCATTTGCAGTTTCAGATTTTGCAGGAGTGATAACACTCTGCAGTGACTCGATGGGACCACGAATAAGCAGAAAAATAAGATCTGATTATAGCCATTATTTATTGAGTGCTGCCTTTACATGCTGGGCTGTGGCTTCCAACTCAAAATTGGATTGTGTTCTTTAAAGTGCTGTTGATAGAAGCCTATCAGGAGCCCTTTCCTTGTCAATGAAGGAATGCCCAGGGGCATTTGCTGCTCCTCAGTTGAAGAGACAGTGCATTAGATGTCACCAGATGAGACTTCTTTTCCAATTTCAGCATTATTCACGGTTACTGGTCCTGACTCCATCACTTTCACAGGACAAGCTACCCCAGGGCTCTAACCTCAGAGGAGCTGGTGCATGAGTTGCCACAGTGCTTTCTGAAACTACCATCACAAGCCTTCTAGACCTGAGGAAGAGAGGAACTGAGGTTTGCAGAGTCACCCCCAATTCAGGTGCTTCAGGAAGACAGGTGTATCCATGGGGTCTTTGCCACAACCTGGTGAGGTAGCTTACGTCCATTTACAGATGAAGAAACCCGAGGCCCAGAAGAGGCAAAGGTCACACAGCTAGGAAGAGACAAGCCTGGACACTCCTAGAAGCTGAGGTTGGAACACTTGATATTCCTCTTCAGCCTCAACTTTGTGGGGGTATATTACAGGTACAGTAAGCCTGAGGAAAAATGGCCAAATAGGGCCAGGGGGAGGCCCAAAGAACAAAATGGATTAATGGTGAAGTACTGTCCTTCAGACAACTCGCTCTTCAGCCTCAAAAGGGCTAGTCTGTGCCTCTTTCAGTCACACAGACAAGTGTGTGGCATAGCCTCATACCTTGGCCTCTATTCTCAAAGATTAAGTGGTGTTTTGGGAAGTCTCTCCATGGTTCCCACATATACGAGGTTTCACCAGTAGAAACACATTGGGTGGATAGCCCTCCTCCAGACTAAAGGGCCCTGTTCAGACCCTAATAGTCATTCTTTACTGTATTGACAGGAAAAAACCCAAAAACTGGGGAGGGACACTGTGAGAGAAGAGACAAAGGGCAGATGACAAGTCTTAGGCTTTTGCTCTGTCTAGAAATGCCATAAAGTGTTTCCTGAGCTCAGCCCACCAGGCTCCTGGTCCTTTGCTTTGGCCCTGGGTTCCATCATCTTAGCTTCAACAGTAGAGATGGGGCCATCTTGACAACTTCCATGATAAGCCCAAGTTCAAATACTCTGCTACCCTCTGCCAGGGCATTGCTTCCTTGCTGTCCCCTCTGAATGTCAGGAATGCCCACTTCCAACCTCCTGTCTCTGTAGGCCTCACAAGAACCCATGGGCTCTAATCTCATTTCTCCAGCAAGAAATAGCTGTTGCTCTAGGCTATGAAGACACTTGCTCATCAGTTGCAGATGTCCCCTACGCCAAGAGTGGATACCTCTAACCATCAGCAAACTCTGCAGCTGGTAGACACGTGCTATAGCCTCACCATACAGGCTTAAAAAAAAAATCTGGAATTTCAAAGCAGTGATCATAGATTTAGTGTTGAGTCCTGCTTGGGAAAGATGCAGAGGCCTACCAGCATCCCAACATCATTCTAAATCAACAGCCCCAGAGGAGAGGGGACCAGAAAGGAGGTTTGCTTAGAGATCCTGGTCCTCTTGAGGACTGGATCAAAAGTGGCACTGAAACTTGATCTAATATTGAAACCAGGGATATTAGCAGACACTGACACCCTGGTGTGTCCATTGGTGCTGGCCCAGGTTAGGGCTGTGGGCAAAGGGTACAATGTAAAGGCAGACCTGGGGTTTGCTACTTTGGATCACCTTTGGATAAGCAGGTAAAAACTCTGGCTGAGACTTGTCATACTTGCTGCTAATGTAAGTCTTCTGGCCTGTGTGAATATTAGTAGTGCAACAGATTTGAACTGCCCACAAAACTCCTGTTGCAGTCAGGGCATCAATGGGCTTCCCATCCATGTGTAAATATTGGTGTTTAAGGAGTCTGAGGTTATGGTAGAAGCTTTGCTCACATTCAGGACCTGTTCAGGGTTGTTCACCCAGGTGGATGCCCTGGTATTCGGGCTCACTAAAGCTAGGACAATATTTAGGGCCTCTGAAGGGCCAGTGTTCCATTGTGGATATGCTAATACCACAGCTAGTGTGAACTTTTGAAGTTCTTGACACATTGGCAGCAATCACAGGGCTTCTCACCAGTGTGGGAACACTAGTACTGGAGTAGGTAGCAGCTGTGCTCAAAGCTGTCCCCACCAAGCACAGAGATAAGGAAGATTCTCACATCTGTGCAAACACAGGTGCTTCAACAGATTAGGGCTAAGGTTAAACTCTTGCCACAGTTCCCACAGCGGTCAGGCTTCTTGCTGGTGTGCACCAGCTGACATTTAACCAAGTCAGCCACAGTTGCAGAGCTGTGGCCACAGGCCTCCCCATACTTGATGCACTTATGAGGTTGGATGAGATTTGGAGCTAAGGTTGAAGCAAGACCCATTTTGGGAAGGGTCTTTCACCAGTGTGTACCTGATGGTGCTTAGCCAGACCTATGTCAGACTTTGAGCAATGGTTAAGAATTGGCCTCACTGCAGTTGCTTTGATGGTAGATGAAGTCTGGGAGACAGGCTGTATAGTCAGCACACAATTCCAGCACATGGAAGACTCTGGGGACTGCAGGATAGCTGGTCTTGGCTGGGGCCTACATAGACGCTGTAAGCTTTGGCAGTACTTCCTGGGAGGCTGGCTGGCCGCTGTTATACTTAGAAGGCCACACCACTCAGGTGGCACAACTTTACAATGCAGGGACGAGCTGGAGACTCTTGGAAATCCTGATGTCTCTTTTTCTCGCAGCTCTGCCCCTGTCAGGGATGCTTTCCCAGTTACTTCTGCCACGACTGGAGAGAAACTCGCTTCCTAGATACCAGCTACTCAAGTTCTCAAGTATAGACAGAACGAGGGACAGACTTGGACCAAGAGGTTAGCACCGGAAACGGAAGGTCCTCAAACCCCTGCCGTTCTACAAAGTAGCGGCGACCGTTTTCAGTAGGTTCAACCCTGTCATTCTGAGAGTTCTTTATCAGCAGCTGCTGTTAGGGAACTTGCCAGTTTTCAGGCCTAGGCTTCTGGGAGTCTGTCTGTCGGCCTGGACTTCGGGGACCTCCCCATCATCCCTTGGGGGAATAGCCACGCTTGACTGGAAGAGGCAAGGGCTAGATGGGGGGCGGAACAGGCAAGTCATCCGAAGCAGCACCGCAGGCCGACGCCCTGGTCGGGCCTTGGGAGGCGTCAGTCCACGTCGAGGCCCTGGGAAGTTTCCCACCCGTCCTAACAATTTAGGCGTGTTAGGCCGGATGCTGACTACATAATCCCACCTTAGGCTTGCACAACGACTAGATAAGGACCATTCAAAGTTCCGGGATCCAGGGCTAACAGCGGCGGCGCTATTTAAGAAGAAGCAACCGCTAGAAGCCGCCAGGCCACTCCCCTCCGCTCCAGTTCCGCATCCTCACAGAGAAGCGGCCGGGGCGCGGGGCGGAGCCGGAGGCCCGAGCCAAGATGGCGGCGGCGAAACCAACCCTCACCGACTCGCTCTCGTTCTGCCTCGCGCAGCTCACAGCGGCCGCCGGGGAGGGTCCGAGTCGGGCCAAGGACTCCACTACCAACGAGACGCCCCTGGGCCGCGCGCTCTTAGCTCTTCGCACGCGCCACATCAAGTCAGCCGGGGGAATCGAGCACTTCCGGGCGCGCGGCGGGCTCCGCCCACTTCTCGCGCTGCTACGGCGAGCGGCGGCAGCGGACCACGCCCCGTCCCCGGCAGAACCCGGCTCCGCCCCCTCGCCGACGGAGGCCGCTGTTGCTGCTGGTCCCGCCCCTTGCTCTGGCCCCGCCCACTCCGCTACGTCCTCGTCGACGCCTTCGCCGCCAGTGCGCCTGCGCAAGACTCTGGACTTGGCGCTCAGCATCCTAGCCAACTGCTGCACCGAAGGGGCGTGCCGAGCTGAAGTGCGCAGACTCGGAGGCATTCTCCCTTTGGGTAAGTGCTCCGCCCCCATTCCTAGAAAGGTTCCATGCCCGCCCCTCCCTCCCAGTCTGGATCTGTCTGGGAGTTCTTTGTCATCGTCTGGGATCTCGAGCTAGCGTGGTGACGGCAACGTGCAGCCACCTCTCAGGGCGGCACACTCCCCATGACGTCACTGCTGTCCAAGCCTTCCCCATCCAGATCATTACAGCCATTATCTAGGTATTGGCACCTCCCTGCACCTGGGCAGGTAGAGCTCACAGGGCTGTTTGATGAACTTTCGGATCCTTATCCTCTATTATGAATGTTCATAAGCAGACACTCAATGCCTATTTTTTATATAGATCTGTGCAAAACCCCACTTAGATGAGCTGCAGGCCAACCAAAGAGTTCAGATAATGATGCTGTGGGCCATACCCCTCCAAGATAGAATCCCTTATGAAATGAGATAATGCTAGCAACGTTGCAAAATTGGAATGAGGCTAAAATAAAATACAAATAGAGCATGCACAAATTCTAAGCAGAGAGCTGGAAATTTTGAGTTACTGAAAAACTTGCACTGTAAGGACAAATTCCAACAAAAGATAGGCTTTTTTAGCGGGGCATTGGTGGCTCACACCTGCAATTCTAGTTACTCGGGAATGTATGATCTGAGGATCACTGTTCCAAGCCAGCTAGGGTAGGAAAGTCCATGAGACTCTGATCTCCAACTAACAACCAAAAAGCAAGTGCAGCTGTGGCTCAAGTGGTAGAATGATAGCCTTGAGCACAAAAGCTCAGGGACAGTGCCCAGGCCCAGACTTCAAGCCCCAGGACCAGTGCACACAAAATTGCCTATCAAAAATTGGTTCCCAGTACATTGCCTGCCCTCTGAAATTATGCATTTTGAAAAAAAACCTTAAATGAAATATGAACATATTTAACACTTTACATTAAAATACATCTGAACTATATTTGGCACATTTCCAAGTCAATAATAATTTTTTGTACCCCTCTGGGACTTGAATTCAGGGCCTTGGTGCTGTCTCTGAGCTTCTTTTGCTCAAGACTAGCACTCTATCACTTGAGCCATAGCTCTACTTCTGGCTTTTTGGTAGTTAAGTAGAGATAAGAGACTTTCCTGCCCAGGTTGAACCATGGTTCTTGGATCTCAGCCTCCTGAGTAGCTAGGATTATAGGTATGAACTATTGAGACCTGGCTTTAAATTATGGTTTTACTTGTGTTTAATCGACCTCATTCG